CGTCAAAGCCTTCCCGTGGACGAGCGACAGCACAAAGAAACATGACTTTCGCGATGAAGCGCTTGGACTTGGCCACGCGATGCTCGACCTCTTCTCCTTCTACCAGGTAAACCTTGCGGCAGTCCTTGTCGGCGTTAAACCACTTTTCATCGAGGTGTACGACATCCCACATGCCACAAAACTCGATTTCGCGCTGGCTGCGGGCCATGGCGGGAGCATCGCTGGCTTCGCCGGCTGGGCCAATGTCTTCGGCGTGGTGGGCATCAATCGCTTCTTGTGTCAACATGACGTGAGCACCACAGTACTGCAAACGTTCGCGCATGTTCTCTTCCGTCAAGAGAGGCTTGAGCCGTGAGGAGCGGTGCTTGATGATTCCTTTCTTGAGGGCGCGGCTGATGGTGCTGATTGAAATGTCACTCGCTTCGGAGATGTCGCGCATGTTGGAACGTTGAATGCGAGGAATTTCTTGTATTTTTGCAATTACTACTTCTGCTGTGTAGCGTGTTGTCGGCCCCGTGTGGCCGTACTTGCGCGACTTCAGGCAGCCTTGCTGGAAGCGTCGCCACAGCTCGCGTATAGTGCCTCTATCGAGTTCGAATTCGGTTGCCATCGCCTGCATGGTCCCGCGCGGCAGCTTGCCAAGGCACACTCGCTCTTGAAGGGCTTTGATGACTTTGCGCTTCACCTCCTCCGTCAAATCGTTTCTTGTTGCGCGCATGCCGGGATATTCAAATGTGGTCACAGGACCAGGATTTCTTTTAATAAATAAATTATTTATTTGAATTGATCTGGTGGAGCTAGGACGATGTCGATTATGACCACCCATTTCCACTTTTGGTGCTTCGTGGCCAATAGACGATACCTCCAGTTTTTGATTCTCTTTTTGTTGTGATATTGAGTATTAAGTTTGGACGAAAATGAATTTTTGGGGTCGCTGGGACTCCATATGATGGAATTAATATGAAACAGAGGAAGTATACACTAGCCAAATCACATTGAAATGCGAGTTTACTGTTACTTCGAAGAAACAACCAATCACATTGATCGTAGTCACATGTGTCCAGAAATTCTCATAACGCATTGCCTGCCGAAGTGGATCTCGTTGTGTAACATACTCTATATTCAATTCAGCAAATCTCATGTTTCCTTCAGCAAACAGCATGTGCGATTCAGCAATTCTTATGAGGCACTCAGCAATTCCTATGTGGCTCTCAGCAATTCCTATGTGGTCCTCAGCAATTCTTATGTGGCAATATTTTATCCTCTTCCACGCCTTCAACAACTGGGCGAGCTTGGCGGGGTCCGCCTGGCCTTTGAGCACCTTGGCCGAACTGGCGGCAAACCCTGTGACGATGTTGAGTACAAGCTCCCCCACGGACAAGATTTGGTCTTTGATGGCAGTGATGCACCCACGAGGGAGGAGGGCGACCCCAGCACACCGGGCCGAGACCCGTGTGCTTAGGCTTGCACTTGGGGTAGCATAGAACAGAAAACGCGAGACTGCAAATCGGCCAGATTTACAGTTTCGACTGTAAAATGCAGTTTTGACGAATTAGCCAATACTGTTAATAGTGTAGTACTTCGAAGTAGCATGTTATCAATGGATAATTTTATCCAACCATTGGTGTCATGTATACGTGAAGTTGACGGAAAGGCCAACAATGACTTTCCTTTCAGCAAATGGATCCTTCAAACTCGCTCACACTTCACTAAACTCGTCGAGTGCATCGGCAACCCAACTAAAGCACAACCTTCGCTGACTAGTGAGACAAGTTTTCAGGTATAATTGACCGATTTTCCTTCCTTCCATCAATCAACACATTAGAACAGTCATCATCTCAACCGCATCGTCCATGGCGAGTCCATATACCTACCGGTAGAGTATAACGACCTTGTCCAACTAAAGCGCGGTTGAGCTTTGCTCCCCATTCTGGAAATTGAATGTCAGACCGCAATAGTGAGAGCATCCCCACCGGTGCGACTGTCCCTACAAATTCGGGCATCTTTAGCTTGAATATCCAGGGGCAAGTTGGAATGGCGGCCAACTATTAACTACTACGTAGTATATACAGTAACGTTAGGACGGGAAGGTAGTCAAGGATCTCACAAGCTAATTCCACTTCATCACCGTCTTATGCCTCTAGGTTCATTTCCGGACATGATAGCCATGCGGATTTTTACCGTTTTCTTATTCCTTTTGCAGTATCACACATGCACAGAAATGTACGTAGCCTTGCTCACAAGGGTTAGCAAGAACGTTCTATGTGTTGGCATGTAGCCCGATGCATCGTAAATCGTCTGCGCTGTTGTCGATGTTAGTGTCAGTTGCATCAAACGTTTGTGTTGTAACGGTAGTATGTCACGATGTAATTCTACGGCACTACTAGCTCCTACTATAGCGATGGCCCGACCATGGGTAGCAGGATAGTCATCCAGGCCTGCACACTAACTGCACACTAACGTAACATTAAACAATTGGAAGTCCGTTAATGAGTCAGATGAACCGATGCAGTAAATACGGGTGGTAGATATACATGTTTACCGACAATACTGTACTATGTAATACTTGGCACATAATAAGCTCAAATCGAAGTAACTAGTTACTAGTAAACTGTAGCGTTGTTGGCCTCAAGAGTGGAAAATGACTAGATTGCGTGTTAACCTACTGTTTTGTCTCCCGCTTCTTCTTGGCTTTCGGCCACGGGGCCATCGTCAAGGCAGCAAATATACACACTGACATTAGTGAGTACCTCCACTAAGGTATCGGAACCATTGACACGCCACACAGACAGAGTGTGTGTGTTTGCAATGGGTCAAACTAACGCGCGACCCAATTGCTCTGCACGCTGCAGAACACCTACTAGTACTTTCGAAACATTGGTTCAACTGATTCATCAACGGGCTACCAGTTGCGATAGTCGGAGGGCTGGATGACAATCTTACTAGTACGTACTACAAAATGTCGTGTTATAGCTACTGAACCGACAACCATAGAATTGTATCTGAGTACGTACTATAGTAGTATGAAAGCATGACGTACCTCGACCAAAAACACATTGGTCTTAACCCGGTCTAAGAGCCTGTTATTGAGACAAAAAATTCAACCAGGACAAAATCATAACCGGTTTTTTTTTGCGGTGTCATCGTGCGGATGACCATTTCGTGTCCAGGGAAGAGTTCTAGTTTTTTCGTGGCCTTGTCATGGTGAGTGGTGGTGCGTGTGGCTGTCCAGTTGGCAGTGGCAACGGTGCATGTGGCTGCATTCTTTGTGCTGTGTGGCTACCCACATTGTGGCAACAGTCCAGCTGTAGCGATGTGACAGGTGGGTTAACGGCTTGCCACCACCTTGCCCGCACCCAGCTCCTAAGTACCTGGCTCATGACGAACCCTAGCTAATGCTTGCCTGGGAATGTGTCTCAAGGGCAAGTTTGGCTTAGAATCGCTAGCCTAGTGAAGTTCCCCAATGTCTCAACTGCACCCGCATCCATTGTA